AGGGCTCATAGAGTGAAATGGCTGGGATATGTTAGGAGATTATCAGATGACAAAAAGGTAAAAACTGTAATCAGAAGAGAGCTGAATAGTCGTAGACCACGAGGCAGATCAAGAATATGATGGAGAGATAATATCCAGGCAGACCTACGAACACTTAGTATCACCAACTGAAAAGAGAATGCCAACCAGAGAGATAAAGAAAGGCGAGTGACATCTGCAGTAATTAACCCCAAGGGCTTAGAATGCTGAAGAAGAAGAATTCGTGATTTAAACATTCACCATAGCAGTCCAAGAATATCTCCTTGAAGCAAAGATACAGACTGGGGCATTAGTATTTAGTTCCAGCAAATCTGATTCTATTACACCTTGGACTGTGCATCTCAGTGTACAAGGATTGTTTTCCAAAGAAGGTATAAAATAACAAACTTCTATAAGCAGATCTTCACGAGTGAATGCATTTCGCACTTTAAATTAATAAAGCCTAAAAATGATCATACAATATCATGTCAATACAGTCATAAGTTGAATTGATGGGAGTTGTGGGAGACTGATGACTGAATGATTTGTTCGTTAAACTTCATTATAAGCTCCAGGGATGCTTGCTGATAACTGGATCGTGAAATGCTGGTGATAATATTGATTGGTGCCGCCCTGACCTCGACCTATGCCTCTACGTGCCTGTTTGCATTTATGTCTCATTTTTATGCATAATTAAAACACTGGCAAGTCAGTTATGTTTTTAATCTTCACAAGTCTTGTTTCAGAATAACTGTAGTTTGTATTCACTTGTTATAACTCTTGAGTATGCATGTGTGCGATCGTGTCTCTGTAGAGTGTAATGTATGAGTGCAATCGTGTCTGGGCAGAGTGTAATGTATGAGTTGCGATCGTGTCTGGGCAGAGTGTAATATATGGGTTGTGATCGTGTCTGAGCAGAGTGTAATATATGAGTTGCGAGCGTATCTGGGCAGAGTGTAATATATGAGTTGCGATCGTATCTGGGCAGAGTGTAATATATGAGTTGCGATCGTATCTGGGCAGAGTGTAATATATGGGTTGTGATCGTTCCTGGGCAGAGCCTAATTTTTCGTAGGCAATTAAGTACAATGAAGCTCTAATATTCCTCAGTGGTCCGTTTCTTATGGGAGGACGGATATTAAAAGCGATAGATACATAATATTTGTTTTTCCGCACTGTCTCCCACGCCCAACTGACTGACTGACTTTCTACCCCACCAGGACATTACACAAGCGATAAACACCCGATGACACATAGTGCCACCATGCGGATGAGGATCACCGTGGAAAGGTTCCAGAAACCGTGTTCAGACACTTGGCCATATTGATGGCCTGCCTATATTGCGGCCCCTGGCAAAAGCCAGAGTGGGGCTTCAAATTACAAAAAATTACGTCCTATGAAGGACGAAAGAGATATGCCCAAACAATAAACTAACATTATAAACTTATTGGCGGGGACAAATATTGGAGTTTTACTGTAAACAACTGTGGTCAGTTATAGTCGGTATGTTTATCAGAGCATGTCTAGATATCATTTTACGACAGTTGGCAAGCTGATTTTTTATAAGATAAATATCAAATTTGTTTTTCATTTTTTTGTCTGCAGCCATCAAGCCGTTCTACGTCACCAGCGTCGTTGGGATACAGTTTCCGGGTTGCTGCCCCTGGTGAAACCATACGTATAGAAGGTCTTAGCGTAGAAATTGCCACCGTTGTACACAATGATGCCTACCCCGCTAAATCTGGATTTAACATATTTATGAACGGCTGGGTGAGACATAAAGAACCGACTAGCTTCAAATGTTGTCTGTTACGTTCATCACCTAATGGGGCATTGGTGGACGATGTTCTGACGGAAGTCAGGTCTTATACGTATCACATCTATATTCAATGGATAGTTGACCGGCAGAACGCTGAGTTCTCCTGTTCTGTGTCCAGTACGCAAATTACTGCAATCGGTGACGCTAATTTCAGCTACGTGACTTTCGCTAAAGACTCATGTCTGAAGGCTCCTGTCGTAGTCTTGCCAATACTACACCCTCAGCCAGTGCCCAACTCCGTCTGTGTTTGTCTAAAAATCACGTATGGAGATCTGAAGCCGGAAAAGGTGATTGAGTGGTTCGAGTATACGCGACACATGGGCACCACTAAAGTGTTTACCTACTATGCTGAAGTAACACCACGAGTGTTAAAAGTACTGCAGTACTATCAGAGTATCGGATTTCTAGAAATGTTGCCTATGGAGGCATCGGTATCCGCAGGTGAGATCCCATCTTGTTTGTTCAATCGTTCACTGTTCCTGTTGTACAGTTTATTTAATCCACTAATAGGTTGTGTCATGGCATTGCCAAACTGCTCTCACCATCCTCTTCTCTACTTGACTATTGTTTGTATATTTTCAGTCCTATATTATAAGCAATTTTTTTACACCTTTGATGTTTGGGTTTGTTAGCAATTTTATTGTGTCATTATATCTGTACTGAGTGTTTGTATTCTTATTAGCATTAGTTAGTTAGTTAGTTAGTTAGTTAGTTAGTTAGTTAGTTAATTAGTTAGTTAGTTAGTTAGTTAGTTAGTTAGTTAGTTGGGTTATCCTCATTGCACTCCGGACATGTCCATAGGTGCTCAGATCCTCCCCTCAGTATGAACCCCAACGTCCGATGGCTAATAGTAAAAGTTCTATGTTGATTAACAAGTCTTCTGGCGTGTCTGGTGTGCGTCTCGTTTTTTGCTGTACCGATCTTAATTCCCAAGTCTGCCATTCTGGCGAGTGATGTGGATTCACTGCCACCAAAGTCCTCTATCCCTCCCATTTCTCTGAGGGCATTGATAATATCAGCATGATCCATAGGCTGACCGTCGGTAGTGATAGCGGATCCAGCCAACCTGTCAGCTCTTTCATTTCCATCGACGCCTGCGTGTCCCGGAACAAAAATAAAGGTGACTCCACGCACAGTGGACTTCTGTAATGATTCAAGCCATTGTCTTCGCACTGAACCTGCCTTAACCCTCCGGATCATACTCATTGAATCACTGAGTATACACACGCGGGTGTATTTTTGTGTTTCAAGCCAGGCAAGCGCTTGCGTCACTGCCATCACCTCCATCGTCATGCTGCTGGTTGTCATGGAGAAGGCGCCGTTGGCTTCTTTGACTGTTCTGCCCGCTGAGCGTGCTGTAAATGCCCATGCGCTTCTTCTTTGGCGTATAACGGATCCGTCTGTATAGATTATTGCATCTGCTTCGTCTGAATTTTCACCGATGAGAGCGTTGACCTCTGCTTTAACAGCAACAGGATTCTCTTCTCTACATCGCCTGTTGAGTGTGACAATACAGGAACATGTACAAATAAACGCCTGAGGCACAGGTATCCATTCTGCACCAGGTATGATGTCGGTTAGGCTGCATATTTGCCTAATAACATCTTCTGCCCGACCTAGCCACGATTTCCCCCTCTTCAGTCTGTCGCCCTTTTCACTAAAAAGCGCTTGATGCAGTTGGTGTTTCTTATCAGCACATATTTTGAGATATGCCCGAGCCCTCCACATCCTGATCCTTTGGTTCATTGTTGGAAAGTCAAGTAGATACCTCATTGCTCCACAGGATGTGTCTCTTATACATCCCAAAATAATGCACATGGCTTCATTTTGCACCTTTTCGAGTCGTTCAATCTGGGTAGCACTGACAGTGAGGATGGCCAGAGCGTATTCAATGGGGGAAAGGACCAGACCGTAGAATAGAAGTATTAGTAGTCTTTGCTCTATATTGGAAGCAGCCATAATCCTCATTGCAGATAGACCTTTGCGTGCCTTTGTTATCACATGGTCAACGTGTTCCCTGAATGACAAGCTGCGATCGAACCTCACCCCAAAAAAATGCCATAACATTGGTTCTGATCAATACACTATCACGCATTTTCACTTCTGGTAAGTCCGACTTGACAATGTGATTGTTCAAAGAGAACCATGACACTGATGTCGTCGAAGGATTGACATAGGCATTGGAACCATCAAACCAGGCGGCAATTCAATCGAGTTCTGTGTGTATAGTGCTGGCGATCTCCTGTCTATCACGCCCTCGTCGATAAATCAAAATGTCATCAGCAAATGACAAAGTCCTTCCCTTTCCATTCAACTGCTACTCAGTGATCATCACCGTATAAACGTTGAATAAGACTGGTGATAGCGGTGATCCCTGTGGCAAGCCTGGACATATCGTTTGCGGTTCTGAGGACCAGCTACCACATCTTAGTACAATCTTTCTCTGGAACAGGACCGCAGCAATCCAGCGGATCAGAATAGGATTAACTTCTAGTTTAAGCAGTAATTGCATTATATAATCATATGGTACTTTATTGTAGGCATCTTCTAAGTCCAACACTGCCGCACATGTCTCTTCTTTAATCTGAAATCCCTCGTACACATCGTAGGCGAAAACTGCAGCATTGAACAATGTCTCCTTATTTAACCTGTACCCTCCAAGTGTTGGTGGCAACTTATCATGTAGTTCCAAGTAGGTGGTCAATCTTTGTGCGACAATTTTTTCCAAAAGTTTGCCAACAGTATTCTGCATCGAGATGATTCTGTAGCCGCAGATCTTTGAGTGGTCTTTATTAGGCTTTGGTAGTGGGAACAAATAACTATGGAGCCATTCCTCTTGTATTTGGCCACTCTGGATGCTGATATTGAATTCCTTTGCCACGCTTTTCAAATCAGTATTCGACATCATCAGCATGTCGTTGTATCGGATGCCGTCAGGGCCTGGAGCAGTGCTGCGCGATTTCTTGAGGCAAGCTCTTAAGGTATCTGCAGTGATTGTGAGATCAGTCCTAGCACAGTGTTCTCGCACAGCATCGACAGTTTCATCTTAACCCCTATTCTTGTAGCTTCGTCTTTTTGGTCAGTTTGCTCCAAGTAGCGCGCAAGAAGGGTTTTTCCTTTATCAGCATCAGTTCTCTGCCATATCAGGTCTGTACCCTGAAAATCAGGGATACCCCTTGGTCGTGCGGCACCGTTTATGCTCCGTTGAAGGCGCCAGAATGTCACAAGAGATCCCTCGGAGCAAACGCTCTTGCAGAATTCGTTCCATTTCGCTGTCTTAGCTTCCTTTGCAATTAACTTGAAAGCCACTGTCTGCTTGTTGACCTCATCTTTCAGACTGATCAGGCGTTCAGAAAGTGACGGATCAATTTTCCTTGCCTTTTGCCATGCCTCGACAGCTTTCCTTTTTTCTAGCCACGCCATGTTGAACTCTTCATTCCACCATGGTGGCTGGGCCCATCTCTCCCGCCGTCTGCGATCTGCTCTTGTTTTACGTCGTCGGATTTTGCTAATGGCATCTTGCCCTGTACGGTCATATATAAAAGCAGGCACATTGATTACATGACCTTTGTTGTTGCTCTTCTCTACCAGGACGACGCAAGGAAAGTGATCACTGTAGTGGTATCCCAGTGTGCTCCACCTGCATCCTGATGCAATGGAGGGAGATACTAGGGCCAGGTCAATTACGCTGTCAGAATCCCCTTGTCGTGTTGCCATTCGGGTAACCTTTCCGTCGTTCAAGCATACTAGATCGGCAGACACTAGGGCATCCTCCAGGTCTTCCCCTTGTTTATTAGTGATTACATTGCCCCACTGGTTTCCTCTGGCGTTGAAATCTCCGCAGTAAAGGACTTTCTTTTCCTCCGTCTGGAGCAAACTCTGCCATTTCGCTGTATCCACCTTTCCATTGCAGGCGTACACATTGACAATAACAAACTGGGCCGGGCCCATCACTTTGACTGCGTGTACTTGTAAGTCGTCATTATTCCACTCAGACATGTCCACCTCAGACATCGGTATGTGGTCACGAACAAGAATGAGCTGTCCGAGGTGCCGTCTATTGTAGAAGGATTGGAAGCCTTATTTTTATTAGCATGTACTGGTGAATATCCCAGTTCATACCAAGAACAGTTTTAACATCAAGACTGAGTGAATATAAACAGCGAATAGGAAGCTCTACTAAAGGAAATACATAATTAGACAATAAGCAAGCCTTTCAATGTCAGTGTTGTCTGTATGTTTCTCTTTATGAGCTGAAAAGCAACTACCCCCTTTCCACTTTATCACAGGCTTCCACAATAACGCAAATGTCAGGAACTGTGCAACTCAACATCATCACCTTGGTCGCATGCAACATTTTGTTTGGTTCCACTCCTAGAGATTACATGCATTCTTCTGTGTTCACTAGCTTCTATAGATTTAGTTTATTTAGATTTTATAAAACAGTTAATGCTTTTACTTCTTCTACTTCTTCTTCTTCTTCTTCTTCTTCTTCTTCTTCTTCTTCTTCTTCTTCTTCTTCTTCTTCTTCTTCTTCTTCTTCTTCTTCTTCTTCTTCTTCTTCTTCTTCTTCTTCTTCTTCTTCTTCTTCTTCTTTTTTTCTTCTTCTTTTTCTTCTTCTTCTTCTTCTTCTTCTTCTTCTTCTTCTTCTTCTTCTTCTTCTTCTTCTTCTTCTTCTTCTTCTTCTTCTTCTTCTCTTCTTCTTCTTCTTCTTCTTCTTCTTCTTCTTCTCTTCTTCTTCTTCTTCTTTTTCTTCTTCTTCTTCTTCTTCTTCTTCTTCTTCTTCTTCTTCTTCTTCTTCTTCTTCTTCTTCTTCTTCTTCTTCTTCTTCTTCTTCTTCTTCTTCTTCTTCTTCTTCTTCTTCTTCTTTTTTTCTTCTTCTTCTTCTTCTTCTTCTTCTTCTTCTTCTTCTTCTTCTTCTTCTTCTTCTTCTTCTTCTTCTTCTTCTTCTTCTTCTTCTTCTTCTTCTTCTTCTTCTTCTTCTTCTTCTCTTCTTCTTCTTCTTCTTCTTCTTCTTCTTCTTCTTCTTCTTCTTCTTCTTCTTCTTCTTCTTCTTCTTCTTCTTCTTCTTCTTCTTCTTCTTCTTCTTCTTTTTTCTTCTTTTTCTTCTTCTTCTTCTTCTTTTTTTCTTCTTCTTCTTCTTCTTCGGCATTCCGAGTCCTTGAGGTGTATTGCTGCAGACATCTCCTGCCTTTATTCATCTCTATGTCTGATTCATGTGGGACTCCAAGAGTGTGTGTGTGTCTCTCTCTCTGTGTGATTGTGTGTGTGTGTCTCTCTCTCTCTGTGTGTGTCTCTCTCTCTCTCTCTCTGTGAGTGTGTGTCTCTCTCTCTGTGTGAGTGTGTGTGTGTGTGTGTGTGTGTGTGTGTGTGTGTGTGTGTGTGTGTGTGTGGGTCTGCTTGAATATGATCTCTCCATGGCTATGTTTGGGCTCTGGAATAAACAGACTTGTTTGATTATCACATCCGCCTAGCATGTGGAAGGTCCTGGGTTCAGTCCCCAGCTGATTCATTGTTCTTAGAATACTTTCTGCAAAGGATGGTCTAGGTACTAAAATACATAAATAAAACCAGGGTGACTGCAGTTAATTGTAATGACTAAAATGGGAACCACAATAGCGAATTGATTTGACCAGTGTTTCCTATTGTGGGCGCTAGCATCCTATCGGGGAGCTGGGCGCTAGCTCCATCGGTCAGATTTGCGGCTTGCATCAGACCGGATTGTTCCAAAGTGGGCGCTACTGTCCCTTAATGATGCAATTTATGTAATAAACAAACATACAGTGTGTATTATGTGTATTTCTGCGGCCTCAATGGTTCCCTCTATGTTCATTTATGTGAAGCAGTTTATGGGGCGGTAGATTCGTCACTCAATCCCACGGTAAGTGTGTTATGGGCACACATGGACAGTGACTAAACATACGGCAGCGGTATACGCGAAGATGAAGAGAAACAGAAGAATCATATTTTCTGGCACTATCCTCCTGGAAGGAAAGTAAAAGGGCCTAAACATTACAAGAATAGGGACCTCTTCTGGCGACTGGAAAGTACCTGTGAATGATCGCTCTCCCGTGGAATTTCTGCTTCATCCATAATTAAATCTAATCATTCTATAATTTACACATTTGTACTCGTTCTCTTTTTTAACGATGGGGTTCAATAAGGACTCTTCATTGGTGCGGTCATTTCTCCATCCTCAAAACCCGTTTAAATAATTCATATATCTTTCATAATTCGTAAGACACGACCACCCTCTGTTATAAGATCAGCAGCTATCCTACCAGTTTGTTCTACTGTATAATTATGTTTGAGCTGTCGTACGACAGACAGTACATCTTCAAAATCATCTTTTTAATGTTTGGTTAACGTGTTAGTGTTTCTTCCTGTGTGAAAGTTTTAACTTTCCCACAGTTTAATAGTTCTACATAATCTACTTTTCCTCGGTTATATTTTTGCTCTTTGTTATTTATGATATTTCGATTCGATTTTTATCTTTGAAATCATAAATACATTAATCCATTATCCGGATGTGTCGTTCCATGTCACATAGGGCTCCTAGTCTATTTCTCCATTATGTTCTGTCCTGTGTATTCAATGTCATGGATGAAATCCAGCCCAGCAGCTTTGGTCTCTCTCATCAACGTTCGTCTTAGGGTTTCTTTTGGGCATCCTTGCCTCATTAATTCTCTTATTTACCAATTTAATGTGCTTGGTGATTCTCTCCTGTTTTTTTCTCTCAGGATTTTTCCAGTGTAATGCTATCTTATGTGTCTTGTTGATACTACTAGCTGCCCAGACACTTCTTTTATTTCTTCACTCCTTTGAATTCAGCCCCTTTTATTGTCATCATTTTTCTCAGATATTTGTTCTCAAATTCATTTAACTTTCGTTTCATGTCTCTAGTGGTTCTTCAACTTTTTGCGTATGTTAAAAATGAAATAACATTGGAATTGAAAATACTTTAACAATGTTTTAAAACGATATAATTTAGAGTTGTTTCCTATTTTGTTTAAGCTGTTAGAAACTGCTGATGCGTTGCCAATGCGTTTCATTAGATCTATCTTTGGGCTTCCTTCACTATCAGAATTACTTTAAAAAAAAAAAAAATTGATCTTTTGCTGTAAATATTTTTGTCTCTAGTGTTGCATCTGCTTGATCTGTCTTCAGTATATGTGTCTTTCTATGACTTATTTGTAGTTCAACCCTTAATGCTATCGTTTAAACGATATGGTTTCATTTACACGTAATCATTGTTACTACTTACCAGAACAATATCATCAGCAAAATGAAGATCTTCTAGCTGTTTGTTCTCCACTCAGTCCAAGTCGGCGTTTGTTCTCCACTCAGTCCAAGTCGGCGTTTGTTCTCCACTCAGTCCAAGTCGGCGTTTGTTCTCCACTCAGTCCAAGTCGGCGTTTGTTCTCCACTCAGTCCAAGTCGGCGTTTGTTCTCCACTCAGTCCAAGTCGGCGTTTGTTCTCCACTCAGTCCAAGTCGGCGTTTGTTCTCCACTCAGTCCAAGTCGGCGTTTGTTCTCCACTCAGTCCAAGTCGGCGTTTGTTCTCCACTCAGTCCAAGTCGGCGTTTGTTCTCCACTCAGTCCAAGTCGGCGTTTGTTCTCCACTCAGTCCAAGTCGGCGTTTGTTCTCCACTCAGTCCAAGTCGGCGTTTGTTCTCCACTCAGTCCAAGTCGGCGTTTGTTCTCCACTCAGTCCAAGTCGGCGTTTGTTCTCCACTCAGTCCAAGTCGGCGTTTGTTCTCCACTCAGTCCAAGTCGGCGTTTGTTCTCCACTCAGTCCAAGTCGGCGTTTGTTCTCCACTCAGTATAAGTCGGCGTTTGTTCTCCACTCAGTCCAAGTCGGCGTTTGTTCTCCACTCAGTCCAAGTCGGCGTTTGTTCTCCACTCAGTCCAAGTCGGCGTTTGTTCTCCACTCAGTCCAAGTCGGCGTTTGTTCTCCACTCAGTCCAAGTCGGCGTTTGTTCTCCACTCAGTCCAAGTCGGCGTTTGTTCTCAACTCAGTCCAAGTCGGCGTTTGTAAAACAACATTTCTTCATCACCCAGTCAATGATTGTGCCAAATAACAGAGGAAATAAAATGCCTCTCTGTTTCACTCCAGTATCAGTTTCAAACCAACAATTTAAACCATCTTCGGTTGCACTGCCCACTCTGAACCTTAATAATGTTTTTTTTTTTCATTTGGTGTACCGTATCATATCAAAATTTCCCATAGTCATGTTCTAGGTAAACTACCAAAGACTTTCTTAAAGTTAAACATTCTACCCACTTTATACTACTGATAATTATTTTACAAAGGGTCTTTAACATTACTGATAGAGTAATTCCTCTCCAGTTGTTACAATCAGTACGGCTACATTTCTTTGGAATTTTAACGAATGTTTCTTTCTTCCAGTGATCTGAGATTATTTTTCCCTCTGCCCATATTCTACTAAACAAATCTTTCCTTCTTGTTACTCTCACCTCAATGAGTACCCACACCTCAATGAGTATCCACACCTCAATGAGTACCCACACCTCAATGAGTATCCACAGCTCAATGAGTACCCATACCTCAATGAGTACCCACAGCTCAATGAGTACACATTGAGGTGTGGGTACTCATTGAGCTGTGGGTACTCATTGAGGTATGGGTACTCATTGAGGTGTGGGTACTCATTGAGCTGTAGATACTCATTGAGGTGTGGGTACTCATTGAGGTGTGGGTACTCATTGAGGCGTGAATACTCATTAAGGTGTGGGTACTCATTGAGGTATGGGTACTCATTGAGGTGTGGGTACTCATTGAGGTGTGGCTACTCATTGTGGTGTGGGTACTCATTGAGGCGTGGGTACTCATTGAGGTGTGGGTACTCATTGAGGTGTGGGTACTCATTGAGCCGTAGATACTCATTAAGTTGTGGGTACTCATTGAGGTGTGGGTACTCATTGAGGCGTGGGTACTCATTGAGGTGTGTGTACTCATTGAGGTATGGGTACTCATTGAGGTGTGGGTACTCATTGAGGTGTGGGTACTCATTGAGGTGTGGGTACTCATTGAGCCGTAGATACTCATTGAGGTGTGGGTACTCATTGAGGCGTGGGTACTCATTGAGGCGTGGGTACTCATTGAGGTGTGGATACTCATTGAGGTGTGGGTACTCATTAAGGTGTGGGTACTCATTGAGCCGTGGATACTCATTGAGGTGTGGGTACTCATTAAGGTGTGGGTACTCATTGAGGTGAGAGTAACAAGAACAAGAGATGCTTACTGCATACAATAATAAACATGTTTATTGCATAACATATGCAGATTGTTCACCTTACCACTGCAAAGAGACTGTTTACATTTCGAGTGTGAATTTATCCTTATTATAAAAAGATAATTTATCGTTAACAACTAAAAATGTGAATTAATAACTACCTGAAGTATATGTTGATTGCCAACTGAAATCTTCAGAATAGCCTGAGACTCTTTATATTAGACCCACAATTACTCTTATAAGACAAAATTTATATTAGTCCTGTTGTGCGCAGATAGGATCTTCTTGAAAATAATTTTTTAGTTCTTCTTTAAGGCTTTCTTGTTCTTTTTTGTGTGCTTATTGTTCTTGGTCTCGTTCTTCCTGTTCTTGTTCTTTTTTATTCCTGTTGCTTCCATTGATGCTCTTCTCCTCCTCCTTCTCCCTTTCCTCCTTTCCTTAATTCCCCTCCTCCTCTTTCTCCTCCTCCTCCTTATCCTTCTTCTCCCTTTCATCTGCCTCTTTCCCTCAAGTATATCGAATGAACTGTGAAAATTGTCGGCAGATGGCCAGAAAAGAACATTAGCACAGCCAAGATTTGAGCAACAAGCATGGGTGGATGAAGTCATGGCTGCCAATGACTGTAAGTACAGAATGGCCAAGTATGACTTCATCATCATCATGGATATGGACGAGATCATTGTGCCTAAAGGAAACATGACTTCATATTTTGACATATTGCAGGTTTGTGAGAAACGATAGTTTATTTTCTTGGTTTTGCTTATAGTTATAGTTACTTAATTTTAAGTTCAATAAAGATCTTAGTAAGGTCACATATAGGCTATTTGAATCGTTGATTTCTTCCTAATAAATAATGAATGTGCGAGTCCTAATCCCTCTTTCTCTGTTTCTCAAGGTACACTGTCTGGGGCAGAATTTGGCGATTATAACTCTAATCCTGTCATTCAAAAATGTATTATGTTGGCGCTGTTGTTATTATTATTTTCATTATTATTATTAATATTATTATTTGTTTAAACTGGTGAACTATATGCCTTTCAGTAATGAATATTTGATCATTAGGACTGTAACTTGAGGCCATGTTTCCCAATTTCACTCTGCATCAAGAATCTGTGGTTTGGTTGGGGGCTGATGAGTACACACGTTTCTCTACGTGGTGATTCTGGTGCTGGCAACTTGGTGTTTCAGCGTTTTCCGACGTTCTCTAACAGTTCAAAGGGAAAATTCCAGCACAAATACATCTATACTTTTCAATCAGTCTCTATCAAGGGATAGAGCAAAAAACAAACACAGACCGTCATTTGTTCCCTCGGCTGAGATTTCTAGTTTGTGTTGTGTTCGCTTATGACTTGACATCAGCTGAGCCTACTGTAGTCAGACCTGTTTACGTGACAACTGTTGATCACACCATCACACGACTAGCAGACATGGTCTTTGCAATTGTGTGTCTAATACCATAAGCTTTATGTGGGGGAGGGGGGGGGTGGAGCGAACGAAGCCTGTCACTGACCTTTACTTACTTATAACATCTAATCCAACTCACGTCAGTACTAAAGGAAACTCCCAGCACTCAATGTGACGTTTATAAACTGACTTTTATAAGTGACGCTTATAAAGTTTGTTTTTCATAACTGACCTTTATAAAATTCCTTTCACAAGTCCGACGACTATAAAGACGTAAAACATGCCTGGAGTCTGTATACGTGTTTACTGAGGTTTGATGTTTATAAGCGTACTTTAACGGGCTCAGATCTATAATCGATTGTTAGTGTCAGTATAATGACGCTTAACGTGTTTTTGTGGATACGAAATCATTTTTTGTTAGAAGGTATACGGTGATTAAAGTCAGCCAAGTTCACGTTAAAAATTGATTAAACTGAGAAGCTGACTTGCTCGCAGCAGGTTGTATCTTACCTTGCTCACACATTACATAAGTTTTAGGCGGCGTCTGTGGCTTAGGCATTGCGAGTCCGACTCGTAATTCCAACGTACCGCGATCGAAACCCACAGCTGGCTGCGTGGGTTTTTATCATGGTACGGGGCATCGCAGTTCGACCCAGCCTAAAGTGGATACTAGGATGGCTGTCCTGGGAAAGTAAGCACGACTGGCGTAATGCTGACCACATTACCCACCTAGTGCCGATTGGGCTGAAAAAATTTGGGATGCTCTTCCCATATGCCCGATTCGCATAAGGCGTAAATATGGATCTTGACTGTTTTTTTTTTTTTTTCAACTAAACACAAGTTTTAAAAGCCCTAATTGAGACGACAAATGGGTAATGCAGTATTTTTTCCTTTAGTTTTTTAAAAGAAAGAGATTAGGGCTTTTGAGCTCAAATTATATAGAAAGATTCTCAGAATATCTTGGACAAAGAAGAGGAAAAATACTGGCATCAAGGAAGATTGGCTAATAAACAGCATCCTGTCTCGGAAGCTGAAATATTTTGGTCATATCAAGCGCCACAACTGATTGGAAAAAATAATAGCAGAAGGCATGGTACCAGGAAGGAGGGGCAGGGGACGACCAACACGAACATGGACACAGGATATAAGTGACTCCTTGAGTATGAAAGTACATGAGGCGGGAGAGCTGGAGAGAGACCGAGTTTTTTTTTTCCAGACAGACCGTGATGAGAGCGACATTCTGCAAAGGACCTACATGATGATGATGATTTAAAAAAAATTAAAACACAAAGAATATACAGCACAGTTTATTCCCGGGAATATTTCATGTGAAAGTTTTCATGTTTCGCTTTATACACTTTTTATTAAAGGGTGCAGCGAGCTGGCTGATGAGTTACAGTAAAATATGCTCAGTGATAAATTTTGGAATAAATTATCTGTGTTTTCTTTTAGAATACGAAATAGTCAGTTTTTTTTTCCTGAGACGACTACCACTAAAAAACACTACTACAAAAGCCAACACTACCACCACTACACAAGCCACCACTATCACTATTACAAAAGCCACAACTACCTACTACTGCAAAAGCCACCACTACCACTACTACAAAAGCCACCACCACCACTACTACAAAACCCACTACTACCACTACTAATACTGCAACTTCAACAATAACTGCTGCTGCTGTTGCTACTACTGCTGCTACTACTATGACCACATGACATATGGTAATACTGCTGCCACTGCTTCTGTTGGTGCTCCTGCTGATGCTACTACTAGAATGGTAGTCTGGTAGTCTGGTAGTCTAAGTTTCAGCTTCATAGCAAACGGGTCACCCCATCTTTGTTCCGCTCGTGTGCCAACGAAAAACACACAGAATGTTTATCACAGTCCCTTGTGGAAAGATTGACAGACTGCTGTCTCAGCATATCTAGTTTACACTCGCAATAAAGCACACGGTAGCCATCCGAAGTGCTAACACAAACAGTCCAACATTAGAAATGCAGTTCATCATTGATGATAGCAGAACTTGTCGCCAACAGATCAGCAGTTGCCCACGCGATCAATTTTAATCACATACGGGCACCGCCAACATTGTACGACAGGCATCGAGCCATTTTTTTATGAATCTACAATTCACACGACCACGTTGGTCACAGTCGAAAAAACATTCCAAATGCAATCCGCAGCTCACAGTGTCACGTAATTCATCCAACTCATAAGCTAAGCGACGAAACTATATCCAGTCTACAAATGGAGCAAAAATGCATCGGCCACCGTCCGGCAGAAGCAAAAAATTTGCCTCTGCTTCGAAAAGTGCCGCTGCCTAGCGTCCATTTTAACCGGAAAACTACTAGAATGACGACGATACGACGTCTGGTACTACTACTGTTGCTACTGCTGCCACTATTCTACTAGTGGGAGGTAATTAATAATGCTGCTGCTGCTACTATTAATTCTACCACTAATGATGGTCAGAATACTAATTATAACAACAATAATAATAAAACAATTATTACTACAACTGCTGCAACTGTTTTTAAGCTAAGTTTGGGCAACTATAATACGCCTAGTGTCGGATCAATCAAATCAATCAGGTGCCGTCTCCACAATGAAGGTTGGCTGCAATGGATCTCCAACAAGCCCTGTCTCTTGCCCTTGATGTACACTCACTCATACTGCTGTTCGTCCATATCTTGATGTTATCCTCCCACTTGTAACGCTGTCTGCATCTTGCTCGCCTACCTTGAACCTTTCCTTCTAGGATGATCTTTACAATACTGTTATGTCTTTTAATGTGACCAAAATATTTCACTTGTCTCTTTTTTATTTCACCTAGCAACTCTCTTTTCATTCCCAATTTTCTCAGTACCTCTGTATTTGATAGTTTTTGTGTCCATGAAATACGTCCTAATCTTCTGTATATCCACATCTCCGGAGAATTGATACGATTTTCCAGTTGTTTGTTCATTGTCCATGTCTCTGTGCCATACAGTAAGGTTGAGAATACATAACATTTGCCAATTCTCATTTTTAATGTATTGCTTATTTCTCTTGATGTCAGTAACTTTTGCATGTTGTTGAAAAAGTGTCGGATAGTCCAGCAATAAAACTAGCTCGAAGCATTTGAGAAACTGGCTCATAAAGGGTATCATATCTTTGAAATGAAATATCTGGGGCAAAAGTTACGCTAAAGTAAAATTAATGGGAGCCGTAGTGGAAGAGACGTAACTGACGGAAAAAGAGGCAGTAGTCGACGGCCTCTAAATTGGACCCATAATATTAAAAACATTTTGGGGATGAAGATACACTATCCTGGAAACCGTGATGGGAGCGAGGAGAGATGAACAGAGGATGTACGAAATAGGCAAGGAAATAGAGGGATTGAGAAAACGAGGACGTCTAAGAGAAAGTCTCAGAACAACGTTGGGGAGAAGCCAGAGGTGATAACGATGTGACTGCACATGATACAACAAAATCGAGAAACAGACTGCGAGCTCTATGTGGTTTAAACAATGCACACAAGCAGACAATGAACAAAAAGAATAAATAAGCACAAACTAAACTCACACCAGGACATGGACATGAAACGTTTCTGGCTGGTTTTCTGAGAGAACACATTGATATCTGGTTAATGCAACTCTTTATCTTTGACAATCAGGCAGCATCGCTCAAAGAACCTGAAGTGTGCGGTTTCAGTTTTGACGCTCATGTGGTGATGCTGGACTGGGGAGCAACTAGATCGTCGCCATTAAGTGTAAGTTGTGTGCAATCATTTATAATCATACCTTATTCCTTCAGTCAACAGGGATTTCTCCATACCAGGGACCTCCCCATACCGGGGGCTGAACTTCTCCAAACCAGGGGCCTCTCAATACCAGGGACTTCTCAGTACCATGGACTCCTCCATGCCAGGGACTTTTCTATACCAGGGACCTCCCCATACCTGGGGCTGAACTTCTCCAAACCAGGGGCCTCTCAATACCAGGGACTTCTCAGTACCATGGACTCCTCCATGCCAGGGACTTCTCCATTCCAGAAACTGCTCCATTGAAAGTCACCAAACATCATCTCCTGAGCTGTTGAAAAAATAATGTTTAAACGAGTCTTTCACAGTTTAGAGATGCGCCTAAATATTTTTTCTGTATTTTTGCTTGAATTTTTGTGTTCATTTCATACAAGAAGCTTTTTATATGAGGACAACAACGGATATCTTGTTTTTCCACCCTCTCGAACCAGTTCACAATTATCCGCCTAAACAGGACACTGTGATGTTTGCATCAAAAACTCAGGCAGTTTTTTAAATTTTTTTATAATA